AGTTAAAATATATATTTATAATTTTAATAAATGACAAATTAAAAAGGCATGAACATTTTTTTTGTATCGAAAAAATATCGAACCGTGAATTTTGTGTATCGTTGCACCCCTACTGTTTATATTCATCTGAGGCTGACAATCATAATGAAATGCAACATTTGTCTAATTTAGTCAACAGAAGTGTCTGAGGAAAGCAGAATTTCCATAACTGTAAACTGGATGCATAGCATTTTGAAATATAAAAACAAGAAAACTAATACCATCACATGTGGATTTTTCACAGTTTATACAGTAACTGATTAAATGGAACAAATTAATTGAAATTGTTATCTTTTGTTGCTTATATCCAATTGTAACCCAAGTTAGCATAATTTTACTTACTAACTGCCTCGAGTTTTACATATATCTTCCTACAGTTCTCTGGAATTTTCTTTCTGTACTGTATATATTTCATCACTCCCTGTTATGCTCATCCTGTCTCTGTGTGTATGTCCTCTCAGGCACTTTAATGGTGGAGAGTGTACCAGGCCACCAGCTGGGTGGTTTTCATCATGAGCACACCCACAGTGGGCAGAGTTCCTCAGGCTCACCCCACAGCATTGCCCTGGGAGCTCCCCATAGCACTCTGGCTCAGCTCCAGATGCAGGTGGACAAGCTAAACCCCCAAGCTCATTGGCAGCCCCAACCACCTCCTCCCCCCTGCACATGGCACCAAAGCATCCAACTACAGCAAACTGTCCCAGGGCCCCTACAGAGAGGCTCTCCCTCCCACAGTTTGCCTCCCCAACCAGACCACAGGTTTACGAGGCCTCTGCCCAACCATGTTAGCTCAACTAGGAGCATACTGAGCCCTGGACTTTCTCCCCAGGTTACTGTGCATTTCTTTGTGTGAGTGTGGATGTGTGCTTGCCTAAGTTTGACTGACAAGCCTTCTTAACGAGCACAGACAGCAGATGGCATTGTCCTAAATAGAACTGACAGCTTTTACATCCTGAGCAATTTATGTCTTTCCTTGTCAGGAAGGATTTTAGTCTTGGATGAACTTATAGCTCAAAAATAAAGTAAATCAAATAAATCTGCATGACAAACAGCAAGCCAGCATGTAACAGAGGACAAAGGGGAAACTTCTTGAGTAAGGCTTGATAATATCTTCTTATTCAAGTTGTTTAGTCTGCTTCACTGGATGTTTGGGTTTCAATTCTGCAGCAGGACAATACTGGCATGTAAAGTGCAGACATTTGTTTTCTACTGATGTGAACAAGTTGTTAAAGCTGCACAGGAAACTAGTATTAAAGAAGCAGCAGTCTTCTGCAGACAAATCTGGAAAGCTGATTGAGACTTTTCAAAGCATATTGTGGTCACATTGCATTGGGTTTTTAGATTGCGGCATAATGGTGGGGCCTTTTTTATCACATGCAGTAAAATGATTGTGGCATGCTCTCCCTTTTTCTGTATTGTCTCCATTCATCATAGTATCAGCAGAGAAGGACAGGAAGTGGCTCCACCTACCAAACCAAGCCCATGGATGGATTTTTCTCCACACCTTTCTATGCACAAATAACTCCGCCACCCCTCAGTGGTAGTGTCAGTTTACCTCATTCACAACAGAGGGTAAGCAACTTCCTGTATTGACTGAAGGCATTGTCATGGTATAATATCTGCTTTTAAGTAATTGATTTGCAATGGTGTGTTTAGATTGAGCCCACATATATGACCAGGAGAAATGATTCAACTGGTCCAATGTATACAGTGAAACCAAACTATCCTCAGGGAGCAGAAACTTCCTTGTCAAGCAGAAATGGTATGTTTGCAATTATTTTTGCATATTGTTTTTTTTTGCAGTTTTTTTTAGCATAGAGAATATGTGTAATGTTGTATTTTTTATAATGGACAAATGCATTGTAAACTTTTCTGAAGCACCAGGACATCAAAGTTCAGCGGTGTACACTCCAGTATCCCAGAAAAAAACAAGGTAGGGGGGAGCAGTATGCACACTTTTGCAAGTATACAAGCACAGATTATCTCTTTGTTCTGTTATGGCACTATTAACTCTGTGCTATGGGTCTCTTAAGTGAATTTATCTTTGATTGATTTTTGCTTTGTTCCCAAGCAGCATTTTTTGGAAAGCCCCAGAAATACACCAGGCTAGTGGAGCAGTGGGATCTGCTGCAAAGAAGAGACAACGATCATCTCCAAGGCCTATAATTGTCATCAAAGATGAGCCAGATGATGAAAGTAGTTATGTAAGAAGGGAATGATTTATTTCAAATACTGTATAGATTTTGTATTGTTGCTAGTTGCTTTTATCTGTAACTTCACAAGTCACAAGTCAGTGTATTCCTACTGCTGTTCCCAAGCCCGGATAAGCAGTGAGGGTTGTATAAAGAAGGGTAAATCTTGGCCAGTTCAACCATGCATATCTTAAAGAATGAGATTTCCATATTAGATCGGCATTAACAACAACTGCCTTTGGTCTTGTTGGCCAATAGGGTCCCTTTGAAAACTGTGCTACTGTAAGGTGAAGACAATGAAAGAAAGTTCAAGTTCAAAGTTTATTTGCCACATGCAGTGGCAGGTTGCCCTGCAGTGGAATGAACCCGCCCCCCGACCTTACACATACAACACAGACATCACATGGGGATACAAGTCAGAGAACGGTTGCATTACAGAAAAAACAAAACAAAACACTGAAATGTACACTACAATGGGAAAGGTACAAGAGGAAAAAAAGAGACCTCTACTCATGCTGGGCTACAGGAGGACAGCATGAGAACAGGAAACAAAAAAAACTCCTCTGCACAGAAAAGCACATACAGTAAATGTCCACAGTACAACATTATAGAGCACGTGACCAGCAAGAGGGTTGGGTAGGGGATAAGGAGTAATCCTAGGCAACACAGCAGTCCTCCTGCCACCGCACCGACTCTCCAGCGCGGGCCCAGACCCGCCTCGTGTTCCCAGGAGGCAACAAGCATCGAAGGCATTGGAAGGGGAAGGGAAATGTGTGCATGGGATGGGAAGTCATCACACAGTCGTTATCAGGGAGTTTTTGTTCGGCTCCAGCCCCAGCTGGCGCCATGGTGTCCGCATGTTGATGTTGTCAATTTTCTTTTTATGCGAGCAGCTCAGACACTGGTCTCTCAATCTCCCATCCATAATTCTCTTTTACGTTTTAGAGAACGACAGTGAGAGACTGTTCGAGGGAAAGTAATACACACGAGACAAGACAAGGACAAGAGGCTAAGCAGGGAAGATAAGGGGAAGGAGGAGAGGAAAAAAGTGCGACCGCCTTCGCCGAGAGCCAAGAGAGAGAGAAGAACGGGGAAAGGCGTGTTAGGAGGCAGTGAGAAAGAAGGAAAGCCAGGAGTTTGAGAGGTGAGAGTAGGGACTTTAAATGTAGGTACTATGACTGATAAAGGGAGCAGATTGGATGCCATGATGGAGAGAAGTAGGGTAGATTTATTTTTTGGGGCAGGAAACCTGGTAGAAGGCAAGCAAGGCCAAGACCATTGGAGGTGGATTCTACCATGGTATCGAAGAGAAACTGAGTAATCTTGAAGGAAAAGATTAGTATTGTTAAGGTGAAGGTGGTATTACACAGAATTATGAGTATGAAGCTGGAAAAGGGGTCACCTTGAATGTTGTCAGTGCATATGTCTCACAGGTTGGATGTCAGAACAGAAAGGGGAATTCTGGAGTGAGGTGGATGAAGTGTTTAGACTGTGTCCCCAGGAGGGAGAGAGTAGTGATTGAAGCAGACTTCAGTGCACTTGTACTGTACTGGTGCTTACTGATCGTCACCTCTCTTTCCCATAACTTCATGGTATGTCTCATCACCTTTATCCCTCTATAGTTACTACAGATCTACACATCATGCTTATTCTTGAACAGCAATATCAGTACACTTCTCCATTCCTCAAGCATCCTCCCACTTTCTAAGATTGTGTTAAACAATCTGGCTAAAAGTGATTAAAAAGATGATTGTGATTGTTTAGCATCTTAAGGTGGATGTTGTTATGATTTGGAGCTGCATAAATGAATTGAATATTATGAATGACTGGCAAATGAAAACCAAAGTTTCCCTTTAAACGTCCATATTTGATCAGTACATCAACAAATCAGGTGTCCACCTATAAAATGGGCTTAGTCAGTGTTTCTCAAAGAGGAACACAGGATTATATATATACACAGGGGACTAGTTAACTCAGCAAGCAGCAGGAAGTAGAAGAACACAGGTAAAAGCAATGAGCAATATGTGAAAACAATTTGGGCAAGGATGGCAATCACAGAGGGAGGAAGAACAGAAAGTAGGAGGAAACACAACAGATAGCTCACCTTCAAAGTAAAACAGGAAATAACCAGAAGACACAGATTAAACTCATAGACAAGAAGACTCAAACTAGGCATGATATCAAAGACTGGAAAAGGCAGTGATGCATAAATCGTATTTAATAATACATGCATAAATAATTGTATAGTATTGTATTGTCTTGTACATAAGAATTTTATTTTATTTTATTATTTTTTCCCCTTTTTTCCCTTTAGATTTTTAGTGTACACTGAGGGCCATGGGAGCATTGCAGTTTCAAATTCCTGTGTATAACTGTACATATGGTCTTTGACTTTGACAAATACAAGACGGTGGAAGGAATAGACAGGGAAATGCTGTGTAAACTAAAAATACTACTACTATTATTATTATTATTATTATTATTATTATTATTATTATTATTAATAATAATAATAATTCAGTAATAACCAATCATGAAAACTTTCAGCACCATGATAAATCTGTAAAATGTTGGTTATGTTATTTTCAGATCTTGTTTTCTTGTTTTTAGGTACATCCCAAACAAAGAGCCAGCCTCCCCGACAGCACAGATGACCAACCCCAAATAAATTCCCAAGGTGAAGATGTCCAGACTTGTATACATAGCACAGACAACAAACCCTGTTGCCCTTCACACGCTCCAAGTGAGCCACTGGGCCAGAGTAAGACTGGACCTCCAACTCATATCAGTTCAGTGGGGGAACAGCAGCAGGTAGAGCAAAATAAAACCCAACTGGAAGACTCTAATGAGGCCTCGTGTGCTGTGTGTCAGACTACAGGACAGCTGTTGTGCTGCCAAAAATGTCATAAAGCTTTTCATCTGACGTGCCACATTCCAGCTCTCCTCAAATCTCCAAGGTCAGCTCCATCAAACTTTATTTATTACTGGTCTTGGATGAAAATGTCACAGCTCATATGTTTTCATTTTAATAGCAATTCAATCGCTTGTTTTCTTTGTGGAATTAAAAGCATGTCAGAACAAATCCACTTTTGGCAAGTTGATTTTTACATCTTGGAGGTGTGAGATTTACATCTGACTGCAGCATTATGCACTTGTTGATGTGAGTTACTGCTTACTGGCTGTTGTTTTCAGTCTGTAAATGGTCTCTTTTTCAGCAGGGAATGGTTTTGCACTTTCTGTTGTGACCTGTTAATGCCTGAGATGGAGTATGTCTGCAAACCTGAAGCCAAAACGATAAAGAAGGAGACGGATTTTGAAGGAGCATTTTCCCCTGTGGACAAACGAGTCAGTGCTTTTTAAAAAAAAATGATTTACTACCATTTATGTAATTATAATAATGATAATACTACAATAGCCAAATGACTTGAATGCCAAGTAATTCAAATTAAGTTCAGAATTCAGCATAATCTGATAAGTCATGTATTTTCCAAATTTACAGCTGTTTTGTAAAACATCAGTAAGCAGCATCTTTTTTAAAAAACAAATCCACTCATTCATTAACAGAGAATCACCAGTTATCATTATGACTACATTATATAAGATATAAACCGTAAATACAGCTGCGTTCTCTGCAATAAGATAGATCATCCCATCTTACCTCAGTTTGATCCACCAGTTATGTTGTCTTAATATAGGCCGAATGTCTGAATGTTCAAATTTGGTCTTTTCATTCTCACATTCAGCACATTTCAGATAACTTTACATTTATAGAAATACTCGTCTCGGTTTATGTGGGGATGTTACTTGATTATAGTGTGTAGGAGGCAGAAAACTTGTTGGTTAATATGACATTACTTTAATTTGTAACCAACGCTTATGTTCCTAAATGTACGATTTTAAATCATGGGTACAAACACCAATAAAAAATAGTAATTGTAAGTAGTAAAATAGTGCAGCTCATCTGCTTTTCCCTGACCAGGAGTGTCAGTCAATTGGGAAATGAACCATCAAGTTTTTTCATGTCTTTTTTCTCTTGCCCAGCCAGTCGTAGCGGATGGTCACCCCTCCCTGAGCCTGGTTCAGCTGGGGTTTCTTCCTGTTAAAAGGGAGTTTTTCCTTCCCACTGTCGCCAAAGTGCTTGCTCACAGGGGGTCATATGATTGTTGGGATTTTCTATTATTGTAGCGTCTACCTTACAATATAAAGCATCTTGAAGCGTGTTATGATTTGTGCTGTATAAATAAAATTGAAATTGAAATAGCTTGGGTTAGAAGGGAGTTCCTTGTTTAATTTTGTGTTTGTTATCTTAACAAGAAAAGTTCTGTTTTTAAAAAAAAAATAACATGCATAAAGCAAATGTTTGATGGAAAAAGTAAATGTGTAGTCAACCTGTACGTGATAGCTGTTAGGTTAGCTAATATTCTCATCTGCTTCTGCAGTGCACTGCCTTCTCCTATGTGCAACCAAGACTTGTGCTGTCAGACTAGAGTCTTGTCTGCTGGCTCAGTCTTCAGCTACGCAGTTCATTTTCCCAGGAGATTTCACCTGCACTTCCAAGTACAACACTGCCAGAACAGGCGTTGGAGGCAGGGAGTAGAAATAAAGACGTCATTCACCCTGTTACAAATCAGTTTACCGTCAAAAGGATTTCAAGGCTGTTATTTTTATGGTAAAACATTTACATTACTTTAAAACAGTGGTTTGTTAAACTTAGTATCTGAAGGGCTAGATGCCTGACATTGCATCATGCATTTAATAACTGATAACAACTGGTAAGAGTGCAAGGGCTGACACAAAGCAGAACGGTGTTGAGAGATCCTGAGAGACGACTCTTACCAGTTTAATATTCTGCTTGACACACCACAGATGGGAGAAATGTGTTTGGTTGTTCTGACATGTATTAATTCAGGCTTATTTTTTGTGTTGCAGAAGTGTGAGAGGCTGTTGCTGTACTTGTTTTGCAGTGAGCTCAACTCAGTCTTTCAAAAGTCTGCATCTCTCTTGGTGAGTCTGAACGTAAGACTGACTATAGTGGAAAAATTAACAGGATTACTGTCAGATGGAGTTACTGTAACTGTAATTTTAATTGTATGTAATGCACCATATTTATCAGTGATGACAGAAATTAGAAATCAGAGGCAGAGCAGCTTTACTGTAAATAAACCGTAAGTTCATTGCAGGCCCAGAACTTGCAGTGTTTGATAATTGGACTTGAGGGGTCAGTGTGATTCTGGTGGCTTGGCTTGAAATAGCTGTTTATTTGAACTTTTACATGGCAAAACAGGGTAAAACTCCATAGTCCCATGTGCATGCTGTTTACATGTCGATGGACACCACAGATTTGAAAAAACTAAAATGACAATAATGTGTTATTGTTCTGTTATCATTTCCTTTCTAAATACTACAGGTACATGCTGATGACAGTCTGACTATAAAGGGACCAGTGAGTTTTTCCACAGTGAAAAACCGTCTAGAGGCTGAGCAGAGTATGTGCTATCAAAACCCCGCAGAGTTTGTATTAGACATCAGGCTCATCTTTGGAAACTGTGTGGCCTGCTGTGAGGTACCATAGACAAATATTCTGCAACAATAACTATTATTCAGTTCTTGACACCTGTTATTAAAACTGTTTCATCCTTTTCGTTTTATCTTCCTTCAGTGCCAGAGTAACACTGAACTTGCCGTGACATGTAGGAGATTTAAAGAACTCTTTGAAGATTATCTGAAGCTCATCTACCCTGATCAGACCTTTCCAGAAATCAAACCAGAGATGTTTCAGACTGCTTCACCCGATTGTCAAGATTCTCAACTCCAATCTCTTGACAATATATTCCCACTTGCAAAACGCCAACGCACATATTCAGATTCCCAGGATGCGCCAAGCTGTCACAGTGGAGAAGAGGGTATTGGATTAAAGCTCCAATTTTCCTAAACAATTGGATATGTGCCAGATGGCACAAAGAATGTGTGGTGTGTACTGTTTTATTAAAAAATATTGCCTTCAAGTTACCAAATACATTTTAGTTTTAATGATTAAATGGTATTGCATGACAAGAATTATCAATTCAGACATCAAATGGTACTTTTTTGTGTTCAAATCAGAATTAAAGCTAGTAGGTTTTGCAGTATTTCTACTTCTGACTGAAACCTGACATTTTAGTTGTTCAAATGACAGTAATCACAAACTCTCAGGTTTCTATTGTTAAAATGTGTTTCAAGGCCCCTCACAGCCAGAACATCGTGAAGGAAAATGCAGTTTTATTTACCATCTTTTAATGTATATTCTGGCTTCTTTATATTATATATTCTGGTGACGCAGCCCATGTAACAATATGTGTGATTATATCCGTCAGGGGCATAATGTTGACGTAAAAAGCTTTCTTATAAACATAAGGCATGGAGAATGGTTTTCTCATCACCAGAGGTCAAAACATTTACGCATACACATACTGCATTCAGGTCAACTTGCATAACTGAACAAGTATAGTAACTGTTATTCCTTATATATTGAGTAGCAGCTCCAGCTAAGGTTTAATGTTCTACGCCTTTTTTGCTCGGTAGCTCCATGTTAATTGAGTTTAATGTTGTTCTACAAACTCCTTTGTGTCCCACGGGGCAGATTTTAGTCTGCCTTTGATGTGTTTGTGACCCTCTGCAGATTGACATAGACGTGGCAAGACCAGCTTTAAGGAGCTTCAAAGGAGCTGCGCTACACCCCCAACAACAAGATTAACACTGTTTGAATGCGACCTTGGCCACTCCAATTTCCTTCACCTATTAGCTTGCAAGTCAGCTCATGCTGCGTTTACTTGTTAAAACCCAAATGTAGATTTGAGGTGGAGCGAAGGAATGAGGCTTAGTTGTTTTTTGTGGACTGAAAGGCATGGGAAGTTGCCCTCTGACTGTTCTCCAGCCAGCTGGACTGGAAGCATGGCAGGGTCCTGGCTTTCATGTTGGACATTCTTCATTCCTTTTATGGCATATTATCTCTTATTAGATAAGATTAGGATTGGTCAGCACTAAAGACTTGCCCTTTGTTGTGATAATTCTAAGAAGGGGTTGCTACGTCTTCAGCTGATAGAGGACTCCCGGAACTACATATGCTTTACTATAGTAGTACTACAGTCTTAACCCAAAGGTACAGCACACAGAGCACCCCCCCCCCCCTTTCCTTTTTTTGTTTTGCATATTTGTTACATGTTTCAGATCATCAAACACATTTTAACAATAGATGAAAATAACCAGAGTAAAAACCAAATCCTTATCAGGGTTGTGGGAGGGGGGGTTGCTGCTGGGGGGCGCTGGAGCCTTTCCTAATTGCCATAGGGCATAAGGTGGGGGTACACCCTGAACAGGTCAACAGTCTGACACAGAGACAGAAAACCATTCATACTCACATTCACACCTATGGGCAATTTGGAATCACCAATTAACCCAAACTCACTAACTGCATGTCTTTGGCGAGGAGGAGGAAGGCGGAGTACCCAGAGACAACCCATGCAAACATGGGGAGAACATGTAAACTCCACACTGAAAGGCCAGATGGTGGAGTTAAACTCATGTCCTTGAGTAAAGCAACAGTGGTAACTATGAGAAAGAAAAAAAAATGCAATTTTAATAATAATAAGTAACTTTATTAAGGTAAAAAAAAAAAATCTATCCAAACATACCTGACTGTGTGAAAAAGTAATTGCCTTTGTTATTGTGATAACCCCCCTAGATCCTTGGCTCATAGAGGTCTCCAAGAACTACATATGCACTGCTAGTAGAGGCTTAACCCACAGGTTGAGAACACAACAAAGTCCTGCGTCGTGGACGTTTCTGTTTCTGTGAGAAAGTAACACAAAGAAATCAGGAAGGGGCCAAATACTTTTTGATAACACCGTTTAGGATTTATAGCAACTTTTTTTCCTGTCTTGCTGATACTAGACTTTGCTTATTTTGCCAAATGATTTGGCAATCCATTACAAAAGCCACCCCACCGTGTCTGCTTTTACTTGTGGCAAGGTCTAATTGCTGTACTGTAGTGTCCAAGTGCAGGTTGATTCAAAAATATTTCCCATTTTCCATGCAGGTGAAGTGAAAAAGGAGGAAATAAAAAAGAGACAAAACCTTTCTGTGATGGATTACCTGCTCAAACAATTTCCCCCGAAGCTTGTTTATAATATAAAGCCCATTTTCAAAAATATTATATTAGAAATATTGCAATTTGATACATATACTGAGAAAGGAAGCTGTGGATTTTCATCCTAACAACTTACCCCAGTTACCCACCTCTGTAAAACTGGTGTGGTATAGTGAAATGAAAGAGAACTGCCAAGAATTTGCAATTTGTTTATTCTATTAAATGAGCTACAACATTCAAAACACCAGTGTGCTGTATTAAAATGTACTTTTACAGAGAGATTGTCAGAGTACTAGCAGAAAATACACACTGTAGTGGACGGAAGCACAAAGAGATCAAGACACGGATCATCAAGCACTACACATTTAAAAGGGCAGTTATCCTTTTATGACAGTCATATACCTGTGGCCTTTTTTATATGCCTGTGGTGTCCTTATATCATGCCCTTGGTGGTGTTTCTTGTTGGTTAGACTGGTGGTGGTGGAGCCATATGGCTTTGATTAGAAGATCATTTAATCTCTCTCTGTCACAATGCCCAGAGCCAGTAGACTGATTGAATTTGCAGAGGGTCTTAGTTGGTACAAAATGTTTATAAAGCACTATATCAATTATTTCTCCACTTCTTGCCATTTCTGGTAGACGTGTGTGAGTGCATGCGTCTGTGGCTTGTTTATATGTAGCCACTTTTCACAGCTCGTGATCACTTTGACTGATGTTGATTGCACACATGTGGCACACTTAGGGAAGATTGAATTCATTCACATTACTATAGAAAATTAAGCTTTATAGTAGGACTGCAGGGACCTGTGACACTGCTGTGAAGATACAATATTAAGGGTGGGATGGGTTGGGAGGCGGGGGTGTCACAGAGCCAGGTCTTAGGTCTCTGTAAGTGCACCAAACTCAGAAATAACAGCGAATAACAGCAATTAGTGGTAGTGAAAATATTTATTTATTTTTTATTCCCCTTATTTCCTCAGAGGAATCCAAAAGGTTTCAAGGCTTACAGTCTGGACATAGCCACAACACATTTTTAAAATACCCCCAAACCAGCTCCAGATGTTGGGTAATCACTACAGTCATTAGTCACAGGCAGAAATACTCTGCTCTGCCATTGATGGAAGTGCAGTTTCCATGTGTGAGCGCACACTTCACGGTACAGTAGCCCGGAGATGACTGCGAGTCCCATCTCCAGAGGCAGTTTTCAGATGTTGCTTCAGGACACTTAACAACAACAACAAAAAAGGATCTGCAATAGGAGGTATTTTAAAACGACAGCTCTTTTGTACACTCGCTAAAATATACTATCTGTAAATTATATATTGTAATCATAAACTCTAACTGCGATGTGGTTTGAAATAAGCCACACAAAAAAGATAAGCAGTAAGTGTGCGCCTGTGGCCCTCAGCCCGCCCCTCGCGGTGCCGTAATTAGACGCTCATTCCTTCAGTCAAGCTGCAACTGCGACTCTCAGCTCCATCAAATCCACTTCTTTTCCCAGTCTAGCTTCTTCTTCTTCATCTTTTTTTAAGGAGCACTGCAGCTTTTTCACACATCCCCGCGGAACAACCAGCATCGGAAAGTCCACCTCGTCTACGTCTGTTTATCTCCAGTTTCTGATACTTTGAGTCTCACCTCTGTCAATGGCTTTGCGCGTAGCGCTGCTCTTCTCTCTGTTCGGAGTTCTTCTTGGCCAAGGTAAGCGTGAGAAGCTGGGTTTCACTGCTGCTAGGTGAGCCAAGCAGTGGGACTGTGCATGTGACAGTGATTTGGATGAATAGCGCGTATTGCATGACAGCTTCACTTTAAAGTACTCAAAGTAAGAAGCAGACAGATAACAGGCTAAAGGGTGATACTTGGGGAAGTGATGCATTTGTCTGGGGGCTAGTTGGGGCATGTGATGAAAGCAAAGTTTGCAAAGGTGGGTGCTTCAAAGTGTTGCAAGTCTTTATTAAAATTGCTAAGGCTCGAACATCTCAAATTAAAAGATTGAAACTATTGTTTAGAATCATTGTTTTTCCTCTGTTACGGATTCAAATATTGGGGATGGATACAAGAGGAAAAACCACAATAACAACACTGGTCCGGCCGGGTTGAGTCAAACGATGATTTTAATGATCACACGCGTGGGAGATGGACACCGTACGCAGACAGCATCCGATCTCAAAATGGTGGAGCATTGATCAACCTCTTATAGCCTCTAGTGGCCCCCACCTAATCATAAAAGCCTAAACATGCACATGCTTTCTCTCCCTAAGCTACGACCTTGCTCCCTGTTTAACTGCTCCTGCTGAGATGGGGCAGAAAACTCCAGTATGTTCTGTTCCCTTCTAATCAGACAAATAAGGCGATGACTTTCTGCGAACAGTATTTCTTATAACTCAGCAGTATAATGCATCATAAAACAATATCATTCATTCACAATAAATCAGCAGTCTAATATAATGCAAATCCGTTTAACAAATGCAATAGTTACCACCTTCTTCTAATTCAGGAGAATAATGCAAACTAAAACTACATAATAATTCACAAACTTTAATTAGGGGTCTAACATGGCATAAAATAATATTATAATCCCACACCTCTTTCTTTTTTTATTACCACTTACAATGTACAATAAGTAGCACTGTGGCCATATAAAGTGCCATCTAAACCATTTTCCAACTTTTTGTGCACTGCATCAACAAAACCCACAACTATAGAACTTTACAGTTAACCTTTTCTACCTTTAACTCTCTCACTACTGTGTTTTATTTAGTTACACTGTGGAGTGGAATCACTCCATTCCATGAAGTGACGATATGTTATCCCACATGGAGAGTGTTAAAATGTAGTTTCACACCAGTTGTGAAGCAAAAGTCATCCCTGCCTGAGGTTTCTTCACTCTCTGCCCTGCAAGTCAAAGGCCGAGTGCCTTGGTATGCTGTGATGCTATGTAAGAGCAACCAGTATCTCACCAGGGCAGGGTGGTCCTAGACAGAAGGGTGAGATTTATACTTGAGCCTCACAGCAGGGTCACCAAATCATAAGACTAGCCGTGTCTTAAAAAGCCCACTGTGCTGTAGTCACACACGGGGCAATTTCACAGTCAGCAGGGGGACCTTTCTCTCAGCTGCCTTCTCTGTAGGAGGTTGTGTTGCAGGTCTTTCTGCAGATCTGCTGGGTATCAGCTCAACCAACTGCATAACCAAATGCATTCCAGATAGATAAGCTCGACTTTGGTTTCAGCCTTTTGTATATATCAGTAAGATTGGAAGAAGCTTCCACATGTAAGCTTTGAGTGGTGCCTATGAAAGAGATGCACACTTCTATGTTGTGATGTCTGTCTGAGGCCAGCTCCTCTGTGTAGGCGGGGCTCCACGAGTAGGCTCATTATGCCTTGTTTACATGAGGCGTCTAGACGCAGACAAGACTTGTGCTGCTCTGCCAAGACAGAATGGCCCTCACAGCTACAACATCATCCAAAATGGAAATTAGCCCTCTCCAGACAGACAATGCACCAAGGAGACTGAGAATTATGGCAGGCTGTATCTAAACCAGAGCACAGCTGTGCCTGGTTTGCTTCTTCTTCTTCTTTTTTGATAAAAGACAAGAAGGCATGCAGTTTTAAAGCACTTCTGGTCTTTCAATCTTAGGTTTTCAAGTCAGCAGACAGCGGTAGCAAAGGAATGAGTCAGTGATGCCTAGTGGGTTAGAGTTAGTTATCAGCAGAACGCTACTGTGAGGAGAAAAGTCCAGAACAGATCGCTGGGGGAAGTTTAGAATAAGTGACCAACTGTTCCTGGCATTTAAAATGCACTGACTAAGTTAAGAAAGAGTTTAGGATTAGTTCATTTTTATGGACTCTGGACACCTCTTGGATGCCTTTCCAGTTCTAATACAAATCATGTGTTTTGACAAGATGGTGTCAGTTACTGGAAGTGGTAAAAAACCCCAAAACATTACACATATGCACAGGGGTACACACATTTAAATAGGATTCTTTATTGTTAATAAACATCCATATTTTCAGCCTCTTGTGAGCACAGTTTTGCTTTCCTAGCTTTTTTGGAAAACCCCGTTGTTACTTACACATTCAGAAAACAAATTAAGTCAGTGAGCGAGAGACAGAGACAGAGAGAGAGCTGCTGGGGGAGCCTGCTTGGTAGGTCCATGTGAAAAGCTTTTAAAATGTCATCTCATTTCATCCAGCTGCTACAAGGTTTATTGGCCAGAGAATACTGTGATGTGCCAGA